AGTACTGAGAGCGGACTATGATTACAGATCTTCAGTTTTATTTTTTTTTATAACCCAAGAATGAAAATAAGCCAGTAAAATAGAAACATCTCAAAGAGGAGCTAGAATCGTAACCGCAAAGAAGAATCATGTAGGATTATAGAGGGCTGTTGTTTCTTTGGTTACTGAGTGGCTGGACATTAATGCCAGCAAGCATCATTTTTTCTCTACATTTTCCATTGATTTGGATTCAACTAGGCAGGTCACCCATCTTGTTGCTTTTAGGTCCAAAAGAACCACTAAGCCATCGGCCCTTGTAGAGCAGCTGCTGGCACTTGCAGGGTCCCTGTATTTGAGCCATTAGCTGGCTGGAAGTGAGCTCCATGCTTTCCACCTGCAGCAGTGTGGTTCAGCAGTGCTGGTGCCAGCTGGCCTGGCTGTCCCAAGCTGTTCCCAGCCAGCCTGGGATGTGTTCTGCCCCTGGGCTTCCCAGTGACTTTGCTGGGGGTTGTTACTTGAAACCTCATCTCCCAGCAGCCCAGGCAGACTCCCTAGAGCCGACAGAGCTCAACAGTTGTTTTGAAATTATTATGCTTAGAGATTTTTTATTATTATTTTTATTTTTTTAAGGGAAAACCATGCAAATTCTTTCTCTTCCTTCTCCTTTTCATTTATTTCAAAGCTTTCAAGCTGCTGTGGTGTACTGGCCATTGTAGGTACAACAAATTTGTCTCATAACCCTTGTATAGAGAGCACAGAAGTATTTGTACTTCTGCAAGTGCTGAACATCTGTAGGTTTCTCCCTGACACTGGTTATTTTTATGCTGAAGTTACCCCCAAACCAAGGACTAACATGAGTTTTGGGAGACACACTGACATCCTTTTCTGAGGAATGCTTTCAGTGCAATTTAATTTTCTAAATGCCTTTATGAATCTGGATCTGAAAGGCCTTAATAATAGATCAGAAAGGCAAGGAACTTTCCAGGATTTTAAAAGAAAGGTATTTCTGTAGTGCATAGCTGGAGATCAAACTGTTATTTCAATCACATAAGGCCATTTTAGCTGCAGAAGAGGTGTTTTTTTTTTTTTTTTTTTAATAACAGGAAAAGGTGGAGAAAGTGATATCCACAGTGTTTTTGGTCTGGTTTCTGCGATTAATTTGTCCCTCTTCTGCAGCAGCAGACTTTATAGTTTTATCTGCAGCCTCTTCAGAGATTTCGTCTCTTGCTGGCTCTTTTCAGACTGAGGTAATTTCCCAAGCGTTCACAAGGGGCCTGGGTGTTGTGACCTGCCTGAAACCAAGGAGCTCTGCTCTCTGCTGTGATTCCCCTAAGGTGGTGTGACAGCCCAATTTCTGTGCCGGGCGAGCTGTCAAGAGCAGAGCCACCAAGCAGCCCTGACAGAGCCTGTCCTATGCCTGAGCTGCGTGGGAGTTTGTAAAGGTAGATGAATATTTAACATATCCCCAGACTTTGATCTTCCAGTTGTAGTCTAGATGCGTCAAAAGCCCCATAAAATGAAACCAGCAGAGGTAGTGCTGCCTTTATATTCACTAATGCAGAGACTGTAGCACCTTCCTCATTTCAATTCCTTCTGTCTCAGGCTTTTCAATTCATCACTGAGAATCTTTATCAGCAGGATGCTGGATGCTCATGCTGAAATTGCCTGGATTTGCAGGCTTTGCGCTGAGTATCTGAACCACTTGGTTTACAGGCCTTTCTCTGATCTTCTGGATGCATTGGGGGTGCATGAAAAGTGCATGAAAAAGATCATGGCCAGTAGTTGGAGCGAGGTGATCCTCCCCTTTTACTCTGCACTGGTGAGGCCACGTTTAGAATACTTTGTCCAGTTCTGGGTTCCCCAGTTCAAAAAAGACTCCTAGAAGGAGTCTAGCAGAGGGCCACAATAAATAAAGGGTCTGGAGCATCTCCCATATGAGGAAAGGCTGAGTAACCTGGGTCTGTTCAGCCTGGGGAAAAGAAGACTGAGAGGGGATCTGATAAATGTTTATAAATATCTAAGGGGGGAGGTGGGAGTGCATTGGATGAGGCAAGGCTCTTCTTGGTGATGTGTTGTGATAGGACAAGGAGCAATGACCTAAGACTTAAACATAGGAAGTTCCATACTAACATGTGGAAGAGCTTCTTTACAGTAAGGGTGATGGAGCACTGGAACAGGTTGACCAGAGAGGTTGTGGAATCTCCCACTATGTGGGATATTCAAGACCTATATGGTTCCTGTGTGACCTATTGTAGGGAAATGGTTGGACTCGATCTCTAGAGGTCCCTTCCAATCCCTGGGCTGTGAAGCTGTAGCTGTGGGCTCAGGCAGGACCCATTTCTTCTCTTCCTGCAGTTACCACCCACGATGGTCCATCACCTCTCAGTGATGCTGTTGCTGATAGTTAAACACCTATGTTCAGGTGCTGGAAGATTTCCAGGCACAAGCCTCTGCCATGTCTTCCTGCCCCGTGCCTGTCAGTGTTCAAGAGGTGTTTGGAGAATGCCCTCAATAATATGCTTTAACTTTTAGTTAGTCCTGGTGTGGTCAGGCAATTGAAATCAATAATCTCTGGGGATTCTTTCCAAATGAATTTGCCTTGCCTCACCTCACTATGTTTTATTGCTCCCTATTTCACTTGCTGTCTGTTGTGACTTGGACCATGGACTTATCATAAAAAGCAAGGCCATCCACTAAGAGCTCCTCTGGGATGCCGAGTTCATCAGGATGTAGTGCCTTCTATCCCGTGGCTAGAAATTTCCTCTAGGGGAAATGTGGTTGGATTCCAGCTTAATGTATGTGAAACAATTTAGGCAGCTGGGAGAAGGTTGCTGTCATAGTGCTCTGATGTGCTATAAGCCAGGTCTGACCTGGCTTCTGACAGCCAGGACTGGGTGTGTGCATGGGCAAAGCAAGTGATCGTCTGAGACAGCTGAGAACAACAGCACAGCAAATGTTTTCCTGCTGATTTTATCAGTCAGAGACCTGCTTGTACTGTGCTTGTTACTGCTTCTCTAGGGCTTTCCATCCAATATACAAATTTCCGTTACTTTTGCTACTTTTTCCCACCTTCTGCTATTTCTGTTCTCAGGTTCACCTTTATGATATACTTTCTCTTCCATCCCTGCTTCCTCATCTTCATCATGGGGCAGAAAAATTCAGTTTTGCCTGCACTCTGGAGAACCCTTGAGTGATGCTGCTACAGTTGTGACAAAACTTATTATGGTCTAAATATTCGAGCAGCCCCTGCTGAGATTTGTACTTCAGTGGATGTGTGTGCTCCCATACCTGAGCTAGGTATTTTAATGCTGATTCAGACATGTATGTATGATATGATCTGCAGTCATCCTTGCTATGGTAGCATAAGCAAAATTCTGTATGCCGAACGCTCTTGAAAGGAAAAACATACTATAAACGTTACATCTGCGTGTGTGAGCATTGTCCCTCCAGAATCAGCACCTTAAATTTTGAGAGGAGACTTCTGTAGGTGACATTGGTACTTGGCAGTCTGAGCAGAATGTTGTGAGGTTACAACATATCTCTCTAGTAAGATTGCCTGTATTGCGGTCTGCTAGATTATAGCTTATATAAAATTGAGAAAGAGAGTTTAAAAATAAAACTGTTACATTAGAGTTTAGCAAAATCTTTTTTTTTTTTTTTTTTTTTTTTTGTCCACATTCTCCTGAATCTCTTGATCCATGTGAAAATGCCAACATTAACATCTTCCCTTTTTTTTTTTTTTTAAAAAAAAAATATAGCATTAGTTAATCCTATATAGCATTTTAAGTTTTTCATTACGAGGAAATTAAGTTTCTGCTGTGTGGCAGTCTTACTGTGAGTTTAATGCTAGGGAAGCAGTACTTCATTGCTAATTGTAACTATATCTGTGACTGTTCAGATGAGGGAAGGGTTGGTATCTCTTTTCTGGCCAGCTTAGGCTGAAATATTGGAAATAAGGAATTTTCTTTTTCTTCTCAGAAAGAGTGGTAACGTATTGGAACAGGCTGCTCAGGGAGGTGGTGAAGTTACTGTCTCCCTGGGGGTGTTGAAGAATCGTGGAGATATGGCACTGAGACCCATGGCTTAGAGGGTAATATAGGCCAGTCTTCCTGTTCTAGATGTAAAACGCATGCAGCTGTGTCAGGGCTATAAAAAGTGATATATGAATGCTTTCTCTTGAAACCCTGATATGACTTTCGGCTTGTTTGTGTAGTAGAAAGCCTTGGTGAAAGAAGGGCTGGAAAAACATGCCAGAAGTACATAAATAACAATTTTGTCTAAGAGTATTTCTATAGCTCTCCTAAAATCAGCTTTTGATAGTCTTTTCACTCAAATTCCATTTCTATACTGTTGTTTTCAAGAGATTTCTTCTCAGCCCAATACCAGGAAAGCCATTTGACATGTAAGCCTAGGTGAGGGTATGTTTCAGATGTGAATCTTCTCAGGATTTATGGAAGGCTCTGATGTAACTTCACTGCATGATATAGTGAAGTACCATCTCCATCCCACTCTCACTGAGTTATGTGAGGGCTATTGTGTCAGACAATTTACTGGGCACAGTTTCAGTGCTTGGACAGATGGGATGTGAAATTTCATGTCTTCAGGTTGGTCTCATCACCTACTGAATTGCCTCTTAAGAGCACTATGCACTCCTAAGCAGCAGCAAAGTGCTGGCATTTTTCATTGCAAGCCCATGTACTAGATTTTTCTCCTTTGACCTTTCCCTGCCTACAGTGAGAAATAGTGAATGCAGTAAAGTCACTGACTTTACTTAATTTCTTTCTTGACTAAATTCATTCTGAGCTTGATCTTACTCACTCTAGCACCAGAACAAACTGCTGAATGTGATGCTACATATTTCACATATGCCTGTGTTACATGCAACCTGACACATCCTTCTCATGCTGTGTGGTTTATAGCATGCAAAAATATATTGTATTCATAGAAAGATGTTGCATATATTCAAAAACTGTTGAAAGTCTGTGGAATTCTTATAATTGTTTATTCATTCTTTTGTTTAGGAGTCAGTGACCTGTAAGTGCTCATTATGAAGAGAGATCTGGTTTTCTTGGTGACTCTAATTAGCCTTGCCTTCCTGTCACTGCTAAGGTCTGGATATCCTCAACATATTGCAGAGGAGTCCTGCTCTGTTCAGATTCTTGTCCCAGGCCTCAAAGGTAATGTGGAAATCTACTTCATTGTTCAAATGCTAATCCTTTCTTTCTAGCAGGCACATCTGCACCACTGGTAGTTTCTAAACAAGACAAAAAAAAGTACCTTTTCTATTTGTCCAGTTTATAGCCTCCTTATACATGAAGTTTCAATGTCCTTAACATTAATTAGTCTGTTAAAATTAACATGGTACAGAGAATGCATGCCAAAGTTTCCCAAACTTACTCCTGATCATTAATGCTTGCTTTTCTGATATATGTGGCCTAGTTTTTTTTCTCTCTGTTTATACTCATGACTGATACAAAGAGACTGTAAAGTCAGGCCCTGTGTTACACCTTGAGAGATTTTCCTTGCCATTTTGCAGTGTCCTAATGGGAAGTATTTTGGATGTTCTGCTCTTATACTTGCCTTCCTTTGGGCTAAATTTCCATTGGTTTTAAATGCCTAATTACCTTTTAGAGAAAGTCAAAAATTAAAGTTAGGTTTTGGCACTTTTATATTTTCTGTCGAGTGAAGCAGCATTTTTCAAAAATATTCCCCCAAACTATTGTACAACAAAGATGGTATTATAAACTATTGATCCTTCTGCAATTAAACACGCATTGAAGTACCTTAGGTAGGAAATCAACATCTGGGAGGAACTAGCATTTTAAAGCAATAGCATCCACTACGGCGTGAAATCCCAGTCCTGTTATTAGTCAATAAGAGGGATGTCCATCATCAAGGCTGTGGTATTTCTACTGGAGTGTAATGTTCCAGTTGAGAAGAACAGCACTGGTCTGTTACATCTAAGTCTTCTGAGGTATGACTAAGCCTTGAATAAACTTGTTTCACTGAGATATTTGCCGTGGAATAAGCGTAAAATAATAAAATCTTTATATAATTCACAAAGAACAATACAACCAAGGTAAATATATGTTGTCCAGAGTTGGACACATCATTCAAATGGTGACCACAGCAATGGGAACCAGAGCTTTGAAATGGCTTTTCAGGTCAGAGAAGTTGTGAGGCTTTGACAAGTTTTGTGACTACTTTGCCTTAGTTTCCCTATTTGTGTAATCTGTCAAAATTAACACCTTTAACTATGATTTGTATGAAAAGGCCATTTTTGCTATTATATGCAGCATAGTCTTTTTTAGAACATTTAAGCAGTACAATAATAGTCTTGGCCCTTTGCCAAAAGGAAACAGCAAAGCAGGCTGAAAACTATCATGTGCCAATGATTTCACTCTGCTTCATGCATTGAAGGCATTGCAGAAGTGAGAGAGATTGATGTACAAATTCAGCGAAGCACAAAATGGCTTGATGCAGCCCCAGTTGATGTGAAGTCTCTAAAAAGCTATCAGTGCCCCAGCTACACTGTCAGGGGGCCTGGCTCTGAGCATTGGTAATGAGATACTGCTGTCCCCTGCTGGCACAACTCCAACCCATGTCAGTGGCCAAGCCTTCCTTTCAACTGAGCATTGATGTGGCTGTGTGCCCGAATTTCAGCTCCCACACAACAGGGTTTTCTCATTGCAGCTGTTAGATTTGCCCCTGCTCCTTCTTGGCTGAGCAAGATCTGCAGAGATGGAGGAACTGAACCCTGCTCCACTGCTAGGCATGAACTAGATGGGATTTGGGAAAAAGAAGGTGCTGGGAACCTGTGGAAGAAATGATGGAGACCATGAATTGTGTGAAAAGTAAAAGGAGAAGGTGGAGGTGATGCAGAGAGTGGAGCCCAACTGGCAGCTGAAGGAGAAAGATACCAGGAAAAAGCATCCAAAGTAAGACAGTGAAATGAAGAAATTTTAGAAGAATGGGAAGTGATAAAGGGAAAGAGAGAAGAAGGGCACAGGGAATGAGAATGAGCAGAGAGACTGGAAACTGGGGAAAAAAAAAAGATATAAGAAAATAACACAAAGCCAATTAGGACCCTACAGAACAAAGGATGTCGGAAGGGGAATGAGATGAGAATGGAGGTGGAAATGGAAGATGAAGAAAGTCGGTGGAGACACCCAGAATAGAAAAAAGGCACAAATGAGAGTAAGGTCAGCAGCTTAGGTCTGGGACTGATATATATATATATATTTTTTCTTTTTTCCCCCTAAAACTTCAGCTTTATAAAGGCGAAAGATGAAATGAAGGAGGGAAAAGTACCATGGCTCTGAGAATCCAGACAACGGAATGATCTGTTTTTTAGAAAACCAATAGTATTAATAATGTGAAGGTGTATTTTGTGTGAAGAAGGAATGGATAGCAGTGTCCTAATGTATTGCTCTCTACATTGTAAAGAAAAAACATTACACAGAAAAATCCTTTAAATCTTCCCCCCCCCCCCCCCCCCCCAATCTTCTTTTGTCTCTTTTCCATAATCTAAAGCAGGAATTATCTCTAAATTGAAGAAATATGAATTTGAAGGCTGGACTGGTGGATAAAGTGTTGGTGGGACAGTCATAGACAGAGGGTTGTTGTCAAGGACTCTATGTTCAGATGGAGGTCACTCAACAAGTGGCATCCCCCATCCATCTTGGGACCAGTGGGCTTGTTTAGTTTGGAGAAGAGAAGACTCTGAGGGGACCTCATGTGGCCTTCCTGAGCTTATAAACAGGAGGGGGACTGAATTTTTACGCACTCTGATAGTGATAGGACAAGGGGGAATGGTTTTAAAATAAAAGAGTGGAAATTTAGTTTAGATGTTAGAAAGACATTTTTCATTCAAAGAGTGGTGTGGCCCTAGCATGGGCTGCCTAGAGAAGCTGTGGATGCCCCATCCCTGGAGGAATTCAAGGCCAGGATGGATGGGGCCCTGGTGGGTGGCAACAGGCCCACAGCAGGGAGACTGGGACTAGATGGTCCTTAAGATCCTTTCCAACCTAAGCCATTCTGTAATAATTATCTTACTCAATGACATACAATTCATAAATAGTGAATGCTACATAAATAAAAACAATATTCTTTTTTACACCCTTACTTGACGATACTACTCGCACAGAAGTAATGGAAGGCAGTTATCATCAGCCGAGGAATGCTTAACAGCTCAAGTAGTTAATATTTGGTGTGCTATTTTTATTACAGTAGATTGTATCACTTGAAGTAGGAAGAAAGCAAACAGAATCTGAGACAAGCCCTGTCTCAATGAATTCACAAAAGCAAAATGACAGCAATAGTAAGATTCACTGTATGAACTATCAGAGATCACTCTCAGCAATGCCAGTACAGTGCAGTATCAGATTTGCATCTGCTAGCTAGGTCCTGCTGCCCCTCAGTTCAGCATTAGGGCTAGATTTCTTCTGGGATTGTGGGGCATCACAACACCATGGAGCACTGCTGGGCATCTTTTCCTGTCACTGCAAAGCACTGGGAGATGAGCTGTGTGTATGTCTAGCAGGGCTGGGGCACAGGAGGCAGGGGCAAGGAGAATGCTGAGCAGGAGCAATGGCTGCAGCTGGAGAAGGAAGCCACACTGCAGCTACTGAGTGGGAAGCACAATTGCATGACCCCAGCCTCTTGCACTGAAGGAACAGGGACTGTCCAGAAACCAGAAAGGGGACTGGGAAGACTAGGTATCTTTCTCAAATTTTAATTATTTGTTTATTTATTTTCATAAATCAGTATTCAAATGTGAGAAGTTGATGTTAATCGCTGATAGATAATTTCTTTTTTAAAATTAGTTATTTGAAAACCTTTTTTTTTTTTTTTCTTTCTTCCCATGACACAATGCTCAGTGCACATACAGCAAAAACAAGGGCATAAGCACTGCAAAGCTAAACTGGCCACTGCTCAGTTCCTGATAGCAAAGGTCTTGCTGCTTAACACAGCTGATAACAAAAACTTGCTAAGTGGTCTGTAGCAGGACCTGTAATGGGGTAATCTCCTCACAAGCAAAGTTTCTTAAACACTCTCACTAAGGAATGCAGTGTCATCTTATTATACGAATAAATGCAGGCAAGCGTAATGGCCTGAAGCAAGAGTGATCTATTTTATTGATCCCTAATGCGCAGCTTTCACTCTGAAGAACGTGTAAAGCAATAGGCTGTAATAGCCTGTTCTGAGCCTCCAGAGAGCTGGGAAAAGTCATTGTCAGGATTTATCTTTGGGAAGCAAAGAACTCATAACCAGCCCTGAGGAGGGAAAGACAATCATACAGAACCTATTGGTTACTTGGTAATAAAGAAGTGGTGTTCCCAAATGTGCCAAATAATAGCCTGTTTCCTACTAATAGTATTATTCGCTGGGGATTATGTGGAATTTGTCCTCATTAAGGTCAGAGAATGGCCTATTTTTGCATGTCTGAAGACAGGAGAGGTAGTCTGGAGCTTGCTGGCAGCCTGAAGAAGGAAACAGATGGAGGGCTGAGCCACCTATGTCTACAATAAGGAGTGAGTGCTGGAGGCTGCGAATCTGAAATGTGCAATTTCAGCTTGTTTTTATGTGTCATTTTTACAGTCCTTCTTTAAAATGTACCTTCCAGCTATGTCAGAGAGCTTGAGGGGAACAAGATAACCACTGACCTTCTTGTTATGGTGCTTGCTTTGGCTTTCTGAAGGGCAGCTGATGCTCACTCTCCTCTCCTGCACTACAGAGCTGTTGTATTAGCTCCAGATTTTTGATCTTAATGTTTTCTTTTCTGTGGAAGCTGTAGAAGTTTCTGTTCTTTCACATACGTCTATTTAATAAAGACAGTTATTTAAATTGTTGTCTTAATTTCAGCTGGGACAGAACTGTTTCCTTCAGAGTGTCTGGTGTGATGCTATGTTCTGGTTTTAGGAGAAAAAAAATGTTGATAACACACTGATGGTTATAGTTGCTGCTAAGCGATGTTGTAGAGAGCCAAGGCCATGCTCAGCAAGGGGCCCAGGTTGCTGGCAGGGAACGGAATTAGCTTAGTTGTTTTCAACTGACCACTGGGATATCCCATACGCATATCCCATGTGACATCACATGGAAGGAGTTTTGAAAGGAGCGGGAGCTCATCTTTTTCTCCTCTGCTTCTTGGGTGGGTAGCTGAGGATCGGTTGTGTGATGATGAGTAATTGCTTGTGTATCACTAGTTGTATACGTTTGTATAAACATATATATATATGTAGTCATAACTATTATCCTTTTCTCTATCTTAGTAAATAGATTTATCTCAACATGCAAGTTCTGCTTTGTTTTTTTTTCCCAATTCTCTCCCCTTTTCCACTGGGAAGGAGTGAGTGAGCAAACAACTGTGTAGTGATGAACCACCTGCCAGGTTAAACCACAGCAATCATTCTTTAAATTTCTATTTGCCTAAGAGTTTTTTAAATTTATATAAATGGAAAACAACAATAGTAGGGGACAAAACAATTTATGTGACTCCAATGAAAGACACCAGGTAGGCACATTGTATGGGAACTGTTGAGTCCTGACCTGAACCACTGATTGATCACCTAGGAAAAGGACCCAGTCAGCCCTGGGACACATGTGAAGGCAATTCACCTATGTGACTGGAAGGGGTGGAGCCTGGCTGCAGCTCTCTTAGATCCCCATTTAAGGGCTGACAGGCACTGGGGGAGGTTCTCTGGTTGGAGATCCTTCCTTGGTGAAGCTTTCCCCTGTGAACCTAGAGTCTTCTGATAAAGATGAGCGATCTTCTTCCTTCATAGCAACTTTCTATCATGCTGATCCTTTCATTGTCACACTTTTGTTGCAATGCCTTTCCCATTGTATTGATCTGTCCAATTGCTACACACATATTTACAGAAATTGCTGTTTAAATATGCTCAATGCATATAATATGATATGAGTCTTGTGAATATAGTTAGTGATTAGTTAGTGATTACTTTGTGGTGATTCAAACCACGAAGATCAGAAGGTGTGATATATATATATAAGTGAGAATGCAGATTAAGTAGACAGTTTTCCACACTTAAAAATGATCCAGTAAATGAGGGATGTAGCAGTGCTATCCTATAGATTTATTCTCACTCAGTACTTGATATAAATCTGTTTATATATATATATATATATATATATATATAATTTTAAGTTATGGCTGTGCCATTTTCACATGGGACTTAAACATGTTCTCTGGTATGCTTTACTGTAAAGAGGAACTATTAGGTGTGTACTCAAGACGTGCTTGGTAACAGAAGGTTATGTGTTGAGTTGAGGCCTGATTCTGAGGCTTCTTCTTAACTAAACGGTAGTGTTGTTATTGTAGTGTTGACTAGAGCCGTGAGGGTTTGGTAACATATTGACTTTGGTTTTGTCGGTGTCTACGTTCATTGCAGGAAAGTCTATTCTCTGTGCTTCAAAGCTCTCAAGATATGTTTCACTTGTTTTTATTTTTTCCCTCTTCAGTAGGCTTGTATTTTCAGTACAGAAAATGACACTCTTGTCACTAACACCAATAGAAAATAGTTCTTTTTTAATATGGTTCTTCTTTTTATTTATGTCAATAGGGGAGGCTGGAGAAAAGGGGGAGAAAGGTGCTCCAGGTCGTCCAGGTAGAGTTGGCCCTCCAGGAGAAAAAGGTAACTTTGTTAAAGAAGATATTTTGAAAGTAATTCCTTACCAAATGCTGCCTTTTCTTGTAAGGCAATGATGATGGGCATCCTCTGCTGGATGACTAAGTCATTCTTAGATGTAAATACAAATAAAGCTTATTTGTAAACTAAATTTTGCTTTCAGGTGTAAAAAGTTTCGGAAAAAAATGTTTTTTCTTTTTTTTCTTCTTTTTTAAGTAGGGTTTCTGTGAAGAAAGGTATCATAATGCCCTCTGTAAATGCAGTCCTCAAATTAAGGCAGAGGGAAGAAATCACGAGTTTCGCTTTCCTTGTTTCCTTTTGTTTGTACATGTGAACACTCTCAGGACCTTAATTAAAACCATTGTGGGAAGGCATTAAGCCATAATAGGCAGGGATGGCCATCATTGATTTCACATTTCTTAGACAACAGGAGATGCATATTCTAAAAAAATCACATTAGGATTAGTCAAAACCTTTTATTTAAATACTAAAATGAAACATTTGACATTCCTATCATTAGAATGTTGGAGTTCTTACCAAACTGAATTTGCAAACCTCTTTTCAAAGCCATCACAGTGGTAATTTATATTTCCTTACAATGATGTGTATTCTGTTACACAGTACTTCTGGGCAGATATAGAAGTCTTATTTCTGCAGTCTCCCTTGAGCCCAAGAACCATGGGTAGAGCTCATCCATTGAAATTCATTGAGAAACTTACAACTCCCTTGAGGTGCGTGTGTGTTAAGTCTGTGTACTTTCCTTATGGAGATGTAGCCTTCAAGGACAACTGTCATAAAAAATTTTGGAAACTAAAATTTTAATTCCTGCAAGATAATGCAGTGTGAAGAGAAGTAAAAGTACTACAGAATAACTTTGGTTAAAAGGTCATATAGAAGTCTCTAGTCCAACCTTCTGCTCAAAGCAGGGCAGGCTTCAAATTTAGATGAGACTGTTCAAGGTTTTTGTCTCGTAGACTTCTGAAAATCTCAAAGGATGGAGATTTTTCCACAATCTTTTTGATTGGCTTGCTCTCCAGTCTCATTGTGAAATATATTTTCCTTAAGGCCAATCAAAATTTTCCTGCTTGTAATGTGTGATCATTGCCTCTTGTCCTTCTGCTATGCATCTCTCAGAAGAGAAAGGTGCATCTTCTCTACAAACTTCCTGTAGTGGAAGAATGAAATTAGGTTTCCCCCCTTACCTTTGTCTTCTCCAGGCTAAATAAAAGGATTTTCTACAGCTGGGCTCCAGTTTTTTTTCTCTCTCTTGTTTGAAGGTGCAAAAAATTCTTTTCTGCAGAGCAATTTCCTAGGCAGCCATTGGCCAAAGTGTGCCAATACATCCCAAGTGTGGAGTGTTTCAGGGTCTGACTGAATTTCATGATTTTCCTGTCAACAAATTCTTGCAGCTTGTCAAGCCCATCTGACTGGCATCCCTACTCTCCAGCACGCTAACCACTCCTGGGATTGCCAGCAGACTCATGAGGCTGCCTTGCACTCCTTCCTGTCACTGATGAAGATTTTAAACACTGTTGGTCCCAGGACTGCTTCCTTAGGAATGGCACTCATAGTCAGCTACTGATTAGATTTTGTCAGCCTTGCAGCAGCTCAGCTGAATTTTTCAGCACTCTTAGATGCCTTCTCACCAGTGCTATGGATGCATGTCCAACTTAAGTATACTCAATTGTCGGCTAACATGGGTAGCATCTCCTCCCCACTTTCTGTCACCAGATGTGAAGATCCAGTAGAACACTGCCAGTAAAGACAAAAGTAAAGGAGGTACCAAGTATCTCAGCATTGTCCATCTATTTTATCATTGTTTCCTTCCAATCAGAGTGCCTGTGCTATCCTCAGTAAATCTTCGATTTTTACTGCTGCTTTACTTGTACTGTCTTTCATGCTATTTTCATATACCCAGCCAAGATCAATTCCTGCTGATTTTTTTCCTTTCTCACTTCATCTCTGAATACCTAGGGAATACTTCCATATTGTCCTTTATTAGCCTCTTTCTGTGCCCAGTCTAACTTGTGTGCTTCCATTGTGCTTGTTGTCCCATCATATCTGAGTGGCTGATGTCATTAAGTAGACTTCCAGATCCTTGTTTGTTTCCCAGGATATGACCATTTTTGCACTGGTATTTCAGATGGGCAAGTGGTCATATCACCTTTTCATGGGGAACTGGAGAATCTCTCCCATTGCACAGTCTTTAATATTTCTTTGAGCTTTGCATTTTGTTGAATCAATTCCATGATGTAACATTTCACTTACATAATTTTATATATAATATTGCATTTACTTGGAAAATCATTCTAAGGAAAGCTCAATTCTAATAATTAGAACAGTTTTCCAGTTTTCATATGTCAATATGTCCAAAATATTGATGTGACGGGATGAAGAAACATTGAAGTGAACATTCACTGCAAGAGAAATGTACATGAAACAGAAAAGAGATGAAAGAAAATTGAATATTAATGCATTCTATATCACATTTTTCCAGGGAGTGCTTTCAGTACAATAATTCTTACTGTTTCTGTAGCCATGTTTTTTCTGCTTTTCTTTTGCTCATCCAAATTTGACTTGACATGTATATAGTCTTGTAATATTTAGTAAATGCTTCACTTTAGTATAGTAAGAAATTTCACTATAGTTTTATCAGAAATAACCAGTTCAGCATCTGTTCCTGAGCAGATTATCGAATATCCATTTGTGATCTGCTATTAGCTGTGCCTTTTAGCACTATTTTTGATCTCTTGGGCATATAACACTAATGCCCTTGATAGTCTTGGCCAAGTATTTTAAAATCTCAGTTGGTATAAGCTTAGACTCATGATCCAGGTACTTAACACATAGCTTAGTGAATGGTGAAAGATGAATGATGTTGTCTCACATTCTATTTGCCCATTCTATGAGCACACTTGCATGATCACAGAAGCTCTGTTTCTGTTCAGTATGCTGTTAAACTTCAGTCTCTATGTTAACACGTATGGCCCCCTGTAGTTTTTAAGCATATTTTTATTGAAGCTTGATATTGGGCTAGTATTCATCTCCTTCTATGGATAGATACTGCTACATTTCATTGTATGTCACTACTATTTGAATAAGTGCTGGTTTACACATGGGAAAGATTATAATTCTTCTGTTTTGGTGTTAATTTACAATATCAGAATCACAGCATTTTTTTTTTTTTTTCACTTCCCTTTCTTAGTTTTGTTTTTTAGGCAAGTTCATTGTAAGGGAACTTGCTTAGTTTCTTTGACTTTAGAAATACAATAGTCAGTGAATGAATAAAATACATAAGAAAGGGTTTTTTATGGTATATTTGACCTGAAATGAACACTTCAAAATTAGAAAGTGCTGCAAATGTTTTCATCATATTCTTTCTTTGTAATATTGTCATATTTTAGTAATTCAGACCCTCATAAACACTAAAACTTTCTGATGCTTTCTTGAAATAAATTTGTTTCTGTGTGTCCTGATGTTTCAGGGTGACATCAGACATCCTGATGTCTTTGGCCACTGATTAAGGTTAAATTCACTTACTTTTGCCATTGCTTTTAATTAATTGTATAGGTCAATTATGATGCATAGCGTGTCAGCAGAATATAAAACTGTGCTGTTCTTATGAAAAGTGTAGAGCACTGGATCAAATAAAATGTTAAGCACAGTCGTATGATATTCTTGAGATGGGACCCAACAGTCTCTACTTCTGCAGTGTTAACACAGCCTCTGGTGTGACTTCACAGAATTGCAGGGGTTGGAAGGGACCTCAAGAGTCATCGAGTCCAACCCCCTTACTAAAGTAGGTTCCCTACAGTAGGTCGCACAGGTAGGCATCCAGACAGGTCTTGAATATCTCCATAGCAGGAGACTCTAGCACCTCTCTGAGCATCCTGTTCCAGTGCTCCATCACCTTTATTGTAAAAAAGTTCTCCCACATGTTGGTATGGAACTTCCTATGTTCAGGCTTGAGACCACTGCTCCTTGTCCTGTTGCCACATACCACCAAGAGCCTGGCCTCATCCATTTGCCTCCCACCTCCCTTTAGATATTTATAAACATTTATCAGATCCTCCTTCAGTTGTTTTTTTCCCCAGGCTGAACAGACCCAGGTTACTCAGCCCTTCCTCATATGGGAGATGCTCTAGGCTCTTTTTCAGCGTGTCAACTAATGCTTTTCCAGACAATTCTCAGACATGTTCTGGGAACTAAAACAATGAACAGCTTGCAACTGATTACCTTAGTTTGAAGAGAAAGATGATTTAGGATTATGGACTGCACCATTCTCGGCCAGCTGGTTCCCTGTGCCGGGGAGCAGTCCCAGGCATTTAGTTTACTAGTGTAGACATAGCCTCTAAGTATGAGAGAAGAGTCATTAATTTAACTGGATTGGATCCAGAGTGCTCAGTCATTTATATAATCAAATTCTAAAGAGAGGTAATAATGTCTTAATTTATATTTTAATATTACTGATTGCTCATTAATATGTAATCAATCAATCCCTTACATTTTGGAGTCAACTTTTACATGAATTTATTGCTCGCTAAGGAGTGCTGCAGGTAGAATTCCATATAAAAGGCCTGACATTGGCAGCTATGGATTCACAAAGTGGGTATCTAATTCTAAACTATCTTCCAAATCCAACTGAACTCAGTAGGATTTTGAGAAAACCTATGCTAAACGGAGTGGACAAAACAGGCTTCAATATAGGCTTCAGTGTAAGTAAATATATAGAATAGGGACCTTAGGGATACATCGTTTAATGTATATTTATGAGATGCCAAACAATAGAACTGTTGCTTAAAACTCAAACACTACCCTGAAAACCTTAGCAGCAGAACTTCAAAATGATTAAGACTTTCCCACTGCTTTCCTCTACTGTATTATTATTTTTTGTACTATCTTTAGCTTCCTTTACAAATTTTCTAGTCTTTCTAATTTCTCATCAGCATAGGTAGCTGTTAACAGTTTCCTTTTCCTCCACCTCCATTTGTTCTGCAGAGCTTTTAAAGGTGCATTTTGTTGCTAAACTATCTGTCTCACATGAGTGGCGTGGATCACTGCTAAGAGATGTTTTTCTCCATTACTCACAAGAGAAATTTAGATAAATAGCTTAAAAAACTAACTTTTAGGTGGCTAATGCTGGGTGAGATGAATTTGTCCCAGCCACATAAAATGCTACTTAGGTATTCAGAATTTTTGGATTTCTGGTTGCCAGGAGTTCTAAAAAGGGAAGAGTCTTGAATAACTACTATGCCATAACATCATTATATCTTTTAAAAATACTTTTTATTCTCATTTAAGTCAGGCTAAATATTTGCAATGGGAATACTGGCTGCAAGACTAAGATAATGTGCTGTGGTAGACACTGTACCTCTGTGTCTTTTATTCTTTTTTTTATTCTATATTTTATTTATTCTTTTTATTCTGTATTCTTTTTATAAGTATCTTCTGCTGACTGCTGTCAAAGATAGCACTGGAGCTGACAGACTTTTGGTCTGGCTTGGGACACTTATGTTGCAAAGTAGATCTCTGTGATGTTCACTATGTCAAATCATAAAGAATTTGTCCCTCAAGTTTGGGAAGTAAACTACTATTCTCTTTTTCTCTTTGACACAACTCAATTCAATTTAGCTGTGAAATGGTGAATTTGAGTTTCTACTGGATTTCTCTTTTTGGCACCTTCTTTTTTAAAAGTAGTTTTATGCCCTCTTTTCTGTTCCAATTAGTTCTGTCTGAAGAAATTGGCCATACTGTATGAACACCCCCTTTTATAGTGTTGCACTGAGCCAAAGCCCTCATCTTTTCACCGGTTGTGCAGCCCACCATTCATCTCTGGTTATTATTTCTTCTCTTGTTTGTGAGACTGACAAGGCCAACAAGAAGATCAATTAGAATTCCTCTCTCTTCAGTTCCCCCTAAAATCCTTTAAGTCTTCTATAATTGGTTCCAATGTATATCACCTTCATCTGAGAGATGACAGATGACTTGCTTCGTATTCTCCATTCAAACTCTCAGTGAAGTTTCCTACTTTTGGTCTATGGAGACTTAATTTCTTTCATTGTCCTCATTTCTTTCCAGCTCTCACTTCCTGATTTCATTAAGACTCTTTAGGCTGCATTTTTGGCAATCATAGGGCCACTGAAAAAGACTTTTTAAAAGGTTTTAAAACTTTTGAAACCCTCAAGGCAGATGGGTCTCTCTTGAAGCTATCTGATTTATTCTGCAGAAGAAGCAGAATAAGCAAGCCCCTGGAGTAGAAGCTGGGGTTACTCACTGTAAGAGAAAAGCTAATCCAAACAGCTCTTTAATGAGCACAGGGGACTTAATGTATGTCTTTGTTGTTTGAGGTAGCATACTTTTTACTTCTGAGCAGATCATGTAGTTCTTATTGGCAATTACTCTGTAAGTTGTTCATCTTCTGGGCAGTATTTATAAGAATGTGATGTCCTTTTATATATTATATTTCATTTATGCATTATAGACATATGTTTATTTCATTCAAATATAGCATCTGACATTACTACTGTAATCCCAATTTGGAAGTGTCCAAGGCAAGAAAGGTCACTTCCAGAGAAATTTTGATAGAGTCATTGCAAGCTAATATTTTTGAGATTTTCAAAGAAATACTTTCTGGGTATGCTATCTATATTGGATAAATATCCACTAATTGCAGTCAGTATTTTTATAATCTACACAATTCCTTGGAAATATGTCTCAGCAATATCCAGAAAGTAAATCAGCAGCTGAGTGGGTTATTTCCTTTCTTTCAGTAAGAATATGCTGAATAAGAGAACAGTTTTGTGGTCTTGAAGATAAAACTTCTGAATTGAGTCCACATCAACTAGAGGCTGAATCTGGTCCTTTTTGGAAATGAAGGAAAATCAATTGTAGGACTTGCCAGTTGAATTAGACCAGCAAGCCATAGAATCATAGAATGGCTTTGGTTGTAAGAGACCTCAAGGATCATCCAGTTCCAACCCCCTTGCCACAGGCAGGGCCACCAACCTCCAGATCTGGTGCTAGACCAGGTTTCCCAGGGTCCAATCCAACCTGATCTTGAACATCTCCAGGACTGGGGCATCTACAAGCTCCTCTGGGCAGCCTGTTCCAGCACCTTACCACTCTCATAGTAAAGAACTTCCCCCTGACATCTGATCTAAACCTTCCCTCCTTGAGCTTAAAACCATTCCTCCTTGTCCTGTCACTGTTTATCCCTGTAAAAAGGTGATTCCCCTCCATTTATAATCCCATTTTAAATACTGGAAGACTGCAAGGCGATCTCATTGCAGCCATCTCCAGGCTGAACAAGCCCAGCTCCCTCAGCCTGTCTTCATAGGAGGGGTGCTCCAGACCTCTGATCATCTTAGTGGCCCTCCTCTGGACCCTCTCTGACAACTCCACACATTTTCTGTACTGGGAGCCCCAGGCCTGGATGCAGTACTACAGATGGGGCCTCATGAGGGCAGAGTAGAGAGGGGCAATCACCTCCCTGTACCTGCTGGCCACCCCTTGTCTGATGGAGCCCAGGATACCATTGGCCTTCTGAACTGCAGGAGTGCACTGCTGGTTCATGTTCAGTTTTTCATCCACCATATTCATTTGACCTCTCTCACTTCAGAGGAAATTACTTCTTTCTAAGACATATGCCTTCAGCTGATGGCTGCTTAAGACTTTTTGTAGTAATGAGGAAGACATCTCCCAGTGGTAATCAATTTATGTTCTGAAACATGTCATGAAGTTAAAGGTAATGATTAAGTCAGTCATAAAATTATCCAGTTCTAAATGTATTGAAAGTAAGTAGTTGTCTGTCCTGTTGTATTGAATCCCACATCCTGACAACAGATCTTCAGTTGTAGATCCACAACTGAGGCTGAGCAATGACAGTTTACAGTGTTTTGGTTACTGGATCCTTGTGGTAGATTTTCCTCCGAACACATCTGATTGTCTCCTTGGTCTTGTGTAGCAGGATTGTGCATAACAGGCATTGTTTTGAGCAAAAGAAAAAAATAAACACCAAAAAAACAGTCTTAACTGAAACAATCACTGAAATAACTGCCTCCATATTTCCTAAAGCAATCTCAGTCTTGTGATTCTGCACATGGGATCTTCAGGAGGGATTTGTCTTCTCTCTGTAGTCCCTCCATCTCTTTTCTCTGTTAATGTTGTGTGGTACAGTAGGGAATCTACCTCATATGATGTAGTTGTACAGCTCTGCAGCCTCCAAGCCATGTTTCTTCTTGACGTTATGATACAAAGAGGCCTAAATCTGATGGCAGAGCATTGATTCACTCAGGAAAGTGTATCACCAACATACATGGAGATATAGTATTGTTTCCTGAGTCTCTTCAGGGCTATAGTAGCAGCAGAATCAGGCAAACTGACAAATTCACAAAATAGTGAGTGTAACAGACTGCCAGTTCTCATTCTGTGGGTCTCAGAAAATCTACCTAGAGCAAGAAAAAAAGGATAGAATGAGGCTTTGCTATTATAGGCTAAGTTCTCTCAGATTTACGTCATTAACATAATTATTTTTCATAATGTTTGAGAAATGCCATACAGAAAAGCTACATGATGTAACAGGCAGGTTTCATCTGTTCTATCATTTGAGCTCTGGAGGAGCTCAGCTCTATTACATCAGTACTTGGACTGTGGCACACATTTCATGCTCTTGCTTGGTCTGTAAAGACAGTGATGGCAAAGAAATTGTCTCTTCCACTGCAAATTCTGTTTCTCCTGAAGCCATTCTAATATTTGCTTTATATTGCAAAGGAAGGTACAATTCATAGAAAAGAGGCGAATTCGGGCAAGGTAAGTGAATCAAGCTGTCTTACATCGGATTTCTGGCTATACATCAGGGATATATACAGATAGGTGGCAGTGGCTGGTTCAAGCAGATTTGCTGACAATTTCAATTCACCTTAAGAGGGGGGTGATTGGTTTTAATTTGTAAAAACACAGCTAAGAAAAATGATTTTCAAATGGCACTTTTTTGCTACAAGTGCTGTTTGAAGTATTCTACTGAAGTATGTTTAAAATTAGTAACATTTAACATTTCTGTTTTGTACCAGACTTTACATTTGTACAAGAATGTGTATGTGCTCAAATATGACTTCCATTCATTTTCATTTTTCTTTAATATAGTCTTCAAATGTAAGAAGAAAGAATGAAGATGGACTGCTACTGTGAAATTAAGCAACAAAGCCCAAATTCAGCCTTACTATAACTCAGCTGCAGTGGAGTTACTGTGTTAGCTAAAACTATTAGTTGTGTTTGGACCCCTTAGGTCTTTTCAACTCCATAATACATTGATCCATATGTTTTTGATGGGATCCTCCCTTACTGTCAATGTTATTTTGGCACGATCATCTGATAGAAGTTTGTAAAACGTTTTTCCAGTGGATCTCAGCCAAGATCTGTTTTCATTTGCACCTGCTTACTGCTTTAATGTCACCTGGAGTGAATTGAACTTCTGAAGTTCATTGAATGTTGGGTTTATAGCAAAAATTCTTCATTGAAAAAACTAGTATCGCAAATATTCTGGAATCTGAATTCATCAGAATACACTGTTAATGTGCTTTGTCTTTCGGTACATATAGGAGAAATGGGAGACAAGGGACAGAAAGGCAGCATGGGACGGCATGGAAAAATTGGTCCTATTGGTTCAAAAGGTATGCTTCGTGCTATTGCTTCTCCATTTTTGTTTCAGATGAAAAAATGTTATCATTTGTGTTTGGTTAGCTACTCTCTGACTTCATCATAGTTGGCTGACGACAGTATGAGATATTCCCTATTGACTGAGATCTGTCAAACAGTTACTTTTTGTTCTGATAGCAGCATTAAGATCTGAGCATCCTGGTTTATGGTTAAATAAAGAACTTCACATCCTAACAGATAAGTGTGGACACTTAAGAGAAGTAGATAGGAAGACACACTGTATTTTGGTATATTTCTAGGAACTACAGTACTTGAATTCTACTCTTGCATACGCCACAGGCTTGGTCATTTGGACCAACCATGTTTACCAGAGCATCTAGGTTATGAATCCAGATTTAGATTGCAATGTAGTGTATACAGCCCTTTTCATCTGCAAGATCTGAATTTATTGCTTCTGTGAAGTTCACAAAAAAGAAAACGATATCGGTACATATTCTTTTCGTTCAATAGGTTTGGTTTGCCTTTTTTGTGGATTGACTGGGACAGAAACATTTTTATTCTTCCTTGGGCATTTTTCTACTTTTCACACTTGCTTGTTACTAGAGGAAAAAAAAAAAAAGTGTTTAACTGTTAGTGAAAAAGCCTCCTTAAATTTATATTCTTTTTCATATTTTAGGTGAAAAGGGAGATAATGGTGACATAGGACCACCAGGGCCTAATGGTGACCCAGGTAATCTAAGACATAATTTGTCTACAATGTGAAGGATTTAAGAACATGCAGGCATCGTCACCAAAAATGTGTCTTTTAAAATACTGAGAAAAATCATGATAAGTAAATATGTAGATAGCTACTCCTCACAGTAATTTTCAAATTACTTAAAAAAAAAAAATATTGAAGTTGCTGGACATGTAGAATATTTGTTCAAACAGTGTCTCAGAGCTACTCAGAGGTTTGATGAATACAGTGGGAATGAAGTGCAACTGTCAGTATCATTCACCACTGATGGAAAGGGACATCCCTGCATAGTCTGCTCAGAATTCCAGCCAACACAAAGGAACAGGTCAGAAGATCATGCCCCTCCACAGGTATCATTGCAGCAACTTACCAGGAATATTGATCCTCCAGAAGAAAAGGTGGAAGTGTGGCAAAAGAAATGTAAGCCTTAGAAAAGTGGCTTCTGATTTTGCCCATTTTTGTTCCTTCCTAGCAGAGCGCACTAAAGGTGCATCAGTTAGTTTTCTTATGAGAACATAATTTGTCACCCAGTTCTTGAGCCAGGCATTGTCTTGAAGGACAGTCTTGTATTCCAACTACTTCGTACATAGACTTAGCTATCAACACTGAGTAATTGTGTAGTCAAATGCAGATTTGAATAATTACATATAGAACTGGAAACTGTAATTGATTCTCTTTTTGAGATCTGAACTCATAGAAGTAACAATTATCCTTTTAGTATTCTCGTTCAAATTATCTTTGTCAAATCAATATCAATTTGGCATAATAGATGTCTTTCTATTCTTTGACTGGAAAAGGTACAGTACTTCTGTATTTGAAAAGTACAGAATTGCATTTTACAGCTAATTGTGAGCATTACATGATTGGAACGCTAGCCTTTCTGATCTACTGTTCCTTATAAGGAACAGGTGAACAAGAAACTGTAGATTTTTGCTCTGGATAAAGTGCTTTTTGGAAAAGACTGAAGATGATAATTTCACCCAAATGTGAAGTTTTGACAAACATTTTTAGTGTTTTTTCTTTTTTCTTTTTTCTTTTTTCTTTTTTTTGACAGGGGATATCTCTCTGTGTTCAGATTAGCCCTAATTACACAGAACTGAAGCTTCAGAGGAAAGGAGATGTCATGGTTAGGTTCAGACAACTGTGAGAATCATGAGAATCATGTATTAGCAAAGGCTACAGGTTTCGGACCATTATTTGTGAAGCAGATGTCCCCTAGGACTGCCCAGCTGGGCCTTTTCATGAAGTTATTTAGATAATTACTGAATTTAGACAGCTTTTTGACTTCAGCATGTCTGTTTCATTTCATAGGCATCCCCTGTGAGTGTAGCCAGCTAAGGAAGGCTATTGGTGAAATGGATATCCAGGTGGCCCAGCTGACGACAGAACTAAAATTCATAAAAAATGGTAGGCTAACTTTATATATTTTCCTTTCTCACTGCCACATTTTAATGGTGGAATTGCTCGTAGAGAGTATCACCATGCATTGGATTTGTGAAGCTATTTTGGGGTGTACAGTAAGTTGGTTTATAGAAATGCGAGTGCTCACTTTTCAGCACTGCCCTCCCCCGCAGCTGTTGCTGGTGTGCGTGAGACAGATAATAAGATTTATCTGCTGGTGAAGGAAGAAAAAAGATACAAGGAAGCCCAGCTCTACTGCCATGGAAGAGGAGGGACGCTGAGCATGCCCAAGGATGAGAATGCCAACAATCTGATTGCCTCGTACATCAACCAAGCTGGGCTCACCAGAGTTTTCATTGGGATTAACGACCTAGAGAAAGAGGGAAATTTTGTCTATTCTGACCGGTCACCCATGCAGACCTTCAACAAGTGGCGCAGCGGGGAGCCCAACAATGCCTACGATGAGGAGGACTGTGTGGAGATGGTGGCATCTGGAGGGTGGAATGACGTTGCATGTCATATTACCATGTATTTTGTGTGTGAATTCGATAAAGAGAATGTGTAAGCTTGTTGGCTCTTTATTTTAAGAAAAGTTTTTAAGCAGGTTGAATAAGTTAGCCCATGTTTATAGAGTACAAGAAATATTTTACACATATGTGACATCAGTATTGTACAGCTGTAAATACAATTTAGGTATTTCAAATATCGGTATTTACCCTTCAGAAGGGAAGAGCACTGATGAGTAAGATATAGATTGTTTTTTTCTGTAGGAAAGTGTATGTATTTAGAGAAAACTGTAGTTTGGGGCTAAATTCTGCCCTCAAAGCATTTAACATGTGATGGTGTGAATTTGGCCTCTAGTTTTCAGAGTGATCATTTTTGAAGAAATAGATTCTTAATATTCTTTTATCTTAGCAAATTTAATAGTTATAAATGTTAATTGCTTGTAGCACTACAGGGACTCTCCAGCAAGAAGGCGAATAATTTGTATACTCCAGTTAATTAGCACAAATATTACTGTAAGTTTTTTTGGATGTAAAGGTGTTACAACTCTATTTCTTCTTTTTTTTTTTTTTTTTAAGTAGCCAAGCCTGGTCAACAAATCAAGAGTCCTGCCAATTTTGTACAGTTTCTTTATTAAAATTTTCACAGATATATCATGAGGAGGCCCTTCAGTAAACAGTTTTAGTGCTGGCAGAGGATTAACTTCATGTAATTCAGTACAGAAAGAGGGATCCATGTCAGATGAGTGCTTTGGGATTGGGTAAAGGTAACAGATTTTGGTTTTCTGCTATCTTTAGTTGAAAATGATTCAGTGAATGAACTGTTTAAGGCCTCAATTTTTTAAGTGTTTCCCGTTTGTTAAATATGATCTTGGTATATCATATTACAAAACAAAACACTGATCCTTCACTATTTAAGGCAAATTACATTAGTGGACAACAAATCTCACAGAAGTGGTTTAGCTAATTGTTTTGGCAGGAAAACAGCCTATATAGTGACTCAGATTGCGAGAGTGACCTCTTGAAAAGCAGCAAAATTGCCCAAAATTCTCCTGTTTATGTATATAGCAATAATGTGATTTTGCACAATTAATTTATGTACTCAATTTACAATTGCATATGATGGAAAATGTGATGTATATTTTAAGAAGTCAGCAACATAATTTCACAAAGGAAATGAATTACTTTGGATCTTCCTAGGAGCCAGTTGCATGACATATTATTCTCACTGTTAGGCATAGAAAGATGACTACAAAATCTCAGACCTTTTTTTTTCAGGAATACCCTACACAATGTTTTATGCTGTTTTTTAAGGAGAAATGTCCCTTTGTATAACATAGCAATCAGTATACTTATCTGATAATTATGGCGGATTGGTCTACAAAGTATCCAGATTGGATCTTGCTTGTGGTTCCACAGCAAGACAAGACCAACTGAAATCAACGCTAAAGTGCCGTGGTACATAACCAGCAGTCAGATAATTCTGTTCATATCCACAGTCTAACAATATTTGGTGTGATGCTATTATTAAATACCTAATAAAACAAACTATTTTGTTTGATATATTTACTCTGTGAATTTGAATCCATTATACATATGTTTGATACCAGTGTTGAAGATCAGTAGCAGATTCCTATGGTTTTGAATATCTCAGCTCCAGAGCAACCATTCTAAGAAACAAATGGTTCTTTGACTGCTTCACCTTCTTTCTTATGAAGCTAGGCATGACTCCTATATATTAGGCTTTCTTCAGACTGTGTTTTGAAATCTAGTAACATGAATATGCTTCACCAATACTCAAGACTCTTTACAGAATTTACAGTGGAAAAAATAGTTGGTTAGAGTAGTAATTTTTGAATATCATGGTTATATCCTGCCCGCTATAGAAATCCTCAGGAACCCTTCAAATCTCAAGCATACTTCTGTCAAATAATTGCATCTATATTAAGAAGACTAAGCCTGAGTTACAGATATCTGGAGTTCCCTCATTATGCACTTACTGAAGATGCTAGTCATTTTTCACTCAGGCTTTGCAAGTCTCTGCTGTAACATTTGCTTTCCTCAGAAACAGACCTTTTGAGGAGGTGGGAAGATTTTTCAGATGCCCAAAACTTCTGTTTTACTTCTGAAAGCCACACCAAATTTGTGATGATTGACTTGACATGTAAGACAGTCCAAATTTCAATTAAAATATGAAAAAAAAAAAAGGAAATGTAAAAAACATTTATTTCACCCAGTTTTCATGTTGACCAGGATATGTTTTTGCAAATCTTGAAACATGGAAAGGAAATGAGTTGTTAGAGGTTTGTATATTCTCTTATTCTCCTGTCTGCTACAGTTCTGGTTTCACTGTTTGGATGCGGGGTGGAAGACTGTTACATAAGATGTCTAGCTATCCTGCAAGAAGCGAAGATGACACATTTGATATTTACCCCTGTGTGGAACTGGGCAAGAAAGAAAGAGAGCTTGGAAGTGACGGAGCCCTTGATCATCTCTCTCACCTTCCAGTTGCTGACCCACATAGACAGGCCATTGCTGGGGGCAGAAATCAACGATCAGTACGGCTCTCAGACTGCACAAATCCTGCTGAAGTGCAAGGTGCTCTCAGTAGAATTTGGAGCTACTGTTATCAGAAAAAATCACATCATAAATTAGTTTTGTTTGGAGCATTTTCCATGTGCATTAAAACCTGCTTTGTTAGATCATTACTCATTCTGTGTGGCTCTACAGAAGCTTTTTGAATGTGTCTGTATGGCAAAAATGTGTACTGACAGGTTTCCCAAACTGCTCTTACATTCTTTACTCTTACCCTAAAAGTTTGCCTTTGAAAGAAACAATAAAAGCTTTTTAAAATATATATACAGTCACCCATTCAGACTCTTGAATGACTTTTTTGCATAAAATATATACTTTCTTCACCTATAGTCCGCATGTTTAAATGCTAAGGTTGTGTTGTTTTCTGATGGCAGAACCAGGCATGTATTCCTCTTCTAAGAGCCAGCTTGGTGAAGTATGCCAAGGGATCAAGCTGCCTTGTCACTGTCGTCTTCCCAGCAGATCACCAGATAATGCCTCACCCTTATCATAGAATCATAGAATGGTTTGGGTTGGAAGAGACCTTTAAGACAATCTGGTTCCAAGCCCCCTGCTATAGGCAGGGACACCTCCTTCTACGCCAGGTTGCTCATAACCAGCCTGACCTTGAATGCTTCCAGGGAGGGGACATCCACAGCCTTTCTGGGCAGCCTGTTCCAGTGTCTCACCACCCTCACAGTAAAGAATTTCTTCCTAATATCTAGTCTAAATCTACCCTCTTCCAGTTTAAAGCCATTTCCCCTTGTCTAGTCACTACCTACCTTTGTAAAAACCCCCATCCCAGTTTTCTACTAGGCCACCTTCAGATACTGGAAGGCCGCTCCAGTCTCCTCAAATCATACTCTCTCAGCCTCTCCTTGAATTGGAAGTGCTCCAGCCCTCTGATCATCTTTGTGGCCCTCCTCTGGACCCGCTCCAACAGCTCCATGTCCTTCTTGTCTTGTGGGCCTCAGAACTGAACGCAGTACTCCAGGTAGAGTCTCATGAGAGCAGAGTAGAGTGACAGAATCACCTTCCTTGACCTGCTGGTCATGCTTCTCTTGATGCAAGTCAGGATACAGTTAGCCTTCTGGACTGCAAGTACACTTTGATGGCTCACGTTGAGTCTTTCATCAACCAACACTCCCAAGATCCTTTTCCTCAGGACTGCTCTCAAGTCATTCTCTGCTCAGTTTTTGTTTGTGCTTGCCTGACCCTGGTCAGGACCTTGCACTTGGTTCCAGCACCAAAGCCTGAGGAGCACCACTCGTCACTGGTCTCCACTTGGACATTGAGCTGTTTACTGCAACTCTGTGACTATCCAGCCAATTCTTCATCCAACGAGTGGATCCCCCCCTGGTACAACTTGAAACCATTCGTTGTCTTCCTTAGCATGCTCAGCTCCCAGTCTTTTATCCCCCGTAGACCAGCTAATCCTCACTGCACACTGACAGATTATGTGACTATCTCTGAAAACAGTTTCATGACAGGTTGCAGGTTAGCCACTTCTGCCTGGCTGTGGGTTTTACACTGTCTTAAGTCACAGAGCAGAACTGTAAAATTTAGTATTTAAACATGAGATACAGATCATCCTTATTGCTACAAGGAAAATGGGTTGCATCATTTTATAGAAGCTCTGGATATGCCAGCTCAAATATGAATTATAAAGTAGCAGATGTTTATATTTTCATTATCATTAAGCAATTTTTTAAAAATGAAAAGTGAAATTAAATATATTTTTAGTGTAAAATAAAATGAAATTTCAGCATGGACAAAGAAATTTCAAAGCAGGCACTTTTAAAGACATTTTCTTTAGGAATTCCAATTCTGAGTTCTGAAGCTTCACTTTGACCTGTAAAGGGATTTGACTTTTACACCACTGTTAAAGTGTTATACAGCATGTCAGTTAAAGTACTCAGTGTAATGGCTGAAATATTTTACTTTATGTCTTAATTTCCAATTGGAACAAGTTATCTTTCAAAGTTCTCTTGTTTGTCCAAATATTGAAAGATTTTGATGCTTGAATGAGTTTCTCCTGGAACTGATGTGGCACAGTAAACACTCTACTCTGAATACAGAACAATAGACTGTTCAATCAGCATTAAGTAGAGGTTCTTAATAATAAGAATGACTCATTTCAGTGTTACACATGTAACTAGCAGCTTATGTGCTATATTACAGATGTCCATTCATAAAATTAATGTAGAACTCATAGAAGTATTTTAAATGTGAAAATCTTACAAATTTACCTTCATCTTGAATTAAAACAAAATGATGTAAAAGTAACCAAATATGCAGCAAAATGGAAATTCCATGTTTCCCCTAGATCTATATCCAGCTCCAGTTTTGATGAAAAAGCCAGTGACTTCTGCTATTGCTGACTGAATTAAATCTAATGAGACACATTACCCTACAGCCTGATGATTCGATACTACTCTACTCCTCACACTTTTTGGGCAGCTTCCCCTTAGCTTTTGTTTTCAGATATTCTGCTCACTTACTTCTCTGTATAAACATTTGCATGAATACATCCCAAGAGTCAGCCTGTTTTCACCGAGGGTTCTGCCTTTCTATTTTCATTTGTCTTGTGGTGCCAATAAACTCACGTCACTCAACCTGTCTGCCACAGGTTACAGACTGGGAGATATTTTTTTTCGTCAGTGTGGCATCTGGAAATGTAACTGCAACTGTGAAACTGCCTGTGACCTGAAAGTTAATATGCAGGTCTGGAACCATCCACTCGCCCAATCCCTGGGGTGCATATTCTGGACTGGGGAGATGCAAACTGGCTTACTGAAAGGAGAACAGACCTTGTTATTGTGGAGTCTTAAGATTTACTTAGGGAAAAAAATGGTGCAGTGGAGGATTTTGACTATTTACAGTGAAAGTGTGAACAGTTGTTTTTTAATTTTGCTGCATTAGGAGAGAACAAAGCATGTGGAGCATAGGAAGTTCTGCACCAATGTGCGCAAGAACTTCTTTACAGTGAGGGTGACGGAGCACTGGAACAGGCTGCCCAGGGAGGTTGTGGAGTCTCCTTCTCTGGAGATATTCAAGACCTGCCTGGACGCCTACCTGTGTGACCTGGTGTAGGGAACCTGCTTTGCAGGGGGGTTGGACTCGATGATCTCTGGAGGTCCCTTCCAACCCCTACGATTCTGTGATTCTGTGATTCTGTGATTCTGTGAACAGAGAGAGAAAGGTTTTGTGGAGAGGAAGATAGCTGTGTGCTCAAGGTGTTGTTCTGGCTGCATGTCTCCTAGCCTGGAGCTTCTCAGCTGGAGGAGGAGCGTAATCCTCTTGAGGGGGCAGAAATGGAAAAGGTGGGAGAAGCAGAAAGCAGATGTACAGAACCAGCAGTGAGCAAGCTGCCCATGAGAAGAATGTAAATGTTACCTCCAGCCATTCTTGTGCTTCCTGGGAGGGAAATGTAATTATCCTTCCCTTTTCTATCAGTGTCTCATCATAGCTCTGGATGAGTATCTACAAAAATAGAGGGAGGTAACCAATTCAGCATAATGTTTGTTCCTAAATAAAGCCCAGTTTGAGTCTCTGGCCAATAATATCTACAACTCTTTGGGTATATTAATGTATAAAGTCAATGGGGATTAAATTAAGCACTGCTACTGAAAGGCTAACTCTGTGGTATTGACACCTTGCGTATATTCTTTACATATAAAAGTATGAATACAATCAAGAATTCAGCAACTGAAGACCTGTCATGCTGCTGAGGTGTCCGTGTGTTACCATACTATCATCTAGTGGCCATAAAAGGCAAATAAATACAAAATTATTGAGCTGAACTGTAGTTTGCTTCCGCTTGCATCAGTTTCTGTGATACTGAGTGCAACCACTAACATGGTATTGAACAACTGATTTCCCAGCTTTGAAGTCTTTGGCCAGATTTGTTCTTTGTGAAATGATTATTTTGATTTTTATCAGATGTGCACTGGTTTTAAGTCCAATCTAAATGCAGAGGTGCAATTTCGACTAAGAAGTGAAAATTGTGCCCAAAAGAGTTCAATGATGATGCCTTAGAGTTAAGAAAAACAAAACAAATCAACCTGTTCTCTGCAGGCCAGCATCTAAATGCAGGAGCAGATCTTCACCTGACATCAATCAACCTCAGTGAAGGCAAATTGATTTATACCTGCCGAGGGTTCGGCACAGCATCCTCATAAATTCTATACATACACTTATTTCAGAAAGAAAGAGAAGTATTTTGATCTGTATAAATTATTTTGATCACTGTCATTCAAAGTCTGATCTCGTGTAAAGCATACATATCTCACAGAAATTTCTCGACTATGGCCAACTGTGACATAAATATTGAACTTTACAGTTGAAGTAGATGCATGTTGTAAAACCTTACCCTTGAGAGTACAGCAACAGTTTGACACAGAAGACAAAGAAACAGTAAAAACATTCAAAATAAAAAGTAAATCCCCTATCACTTCATATTCCATGAAAACGAAACTTCTGTGGTTCTTTTTGCCACGCACAGTGTTGATTCATAGGAGTAGACGGGTGCCATCTAGTGAAGAAAAGATTTGTTACATATTTAAACAGCCACAAATCCAATTTTGTTCTTTAGTATTGCTTCATTCTTTAGAATGATTGGAATGATAAAGACAGACATACCTTTGGTGCTTCTTCTGTCATCCGCTCTAGATTAGTTTTCAAAGAACAAGCGTAATGTGATCACATGCTGCTTTTCCTTCTAAAACTTTTGAATCCACTTGAAGCCACTTTCAACCAGATATATAAGTAGGACTCAGAGATAGGAAGTTTCTAAGTATTTTGCATAAAGATGTAAATGGATAATGAGTGGCTCCAAGACTGTTGGAGTACAAGAAGCATTTGGACTGTGCTCTCAGAAATAGGGCTTGAGTTTTGTGTGGTCTTGTGTGGAGCTTGGAGTTATACTCATCGATCATTGTGGATCCCTTCCAATTTGGGATATTATTCTATGATTTCCCTCTGTCCCTACTGAAGAAATGTCTGTCTTCAAATGTAGATGTGGCACTGAGGGACATAATTTAGTGGGCATGGTGGGGGTGAGTTAATGGCTAGACCAAATTATTTAGTGGTCTTTTCCAACCTTAATAACTCTATGATTCTATGATCATGGAGGCAGTCTATATGCAATCTTAACTGCAGGAAGAGCCTGCATGACCCTCACAAGCATCAGTGTGTCCCTCTATTAATTATCACTGACTGGTTTGACATGAGGTCTCTTCTGGATCTGAAAGTTTACACTTCATGTACATA